GCAATATCAAATGTTGGGTGTGAGGTATGTTTCCAACCACTATGTTATATGTATTTTTATTTGTAAATATTTAGGTTCTTAATTCAACATTATTATAATTTTTTATGCAGGGTGTTGATAAGAATTATGATAGTCAGCATAATAAAAAAGATGTTGATGTTGCTTGTTCAATGAAAGAATCTATCAATAAAAGAACATCAAAACATGTAAGTCAAGACACTTTATATTTATTTTTGTTTAAATTTAAGAAGAGATTGATGATTTTATAATTTTGTAATAGATTAAAAAGGAAGAGATTGGTCGATCAAATGAGAACAAGTCAAACATTCCTACAACTTTTGAAAATGTAAGTTGTTTCTCATCACACTTGAATGCTCTTATGTATCCTATACCACACATTTTTCCTCATAATACATCGGTGGGTAAAAACAAACTTCATTGTGTTAATTGTGTGTGCTAGTCAAATAACTAATTCTTATAATTTTTTTTGTTCATATCAGTTTTTAGGTGTGTTGGAACAGGTTGAGAGTTCGACAAAAATGGCTTGCAAGAAAAGTGATCATCTACTTTAGCGAATAAATGAAAAAGAGATATAAAGATCCAAAAAGAATCTGAATCCTGATACAAAACTAACAATGTTATCATATTTGAATAGATTTTCCTTTTGATCTGGTAAATTGACTACTCTGTCGATTAGTTCTATTGATTATGTATATAGTTTGAGTACACTGTTTTCTACTCTATTGGATTTGAATTTTTCTGTTAATTATTTTCAACAGGAGGTCTGATTTGGAGTATGAAAAATGGGGATGCTCTAAATGAAGCCTCTAATGAGGGCATGATGAAAGCCTTGTATTGGACTTGCTTTCTTGTTATAGTCTTATAGACATTACAATAACTATTTTATTGAGATTTCTTGTTCATGTTTCTTAGGTAGAAATTAAGTGAATTGTATCCTCTCATTGGATTTAAAATTTCTATTAATTATTTTTAATAGATCAGGTCAGTTATTTATCAGTTCTGCTATTGTGATTTTTTGATCTGTTCTAGGTTGGTTTTGGCTTGGGAAAGTGTAATTTTTAATGTTACTTTGGGTGTTTTGCTTGTGATGCGCTGCAGTATGAGTAGCTTATTTTGTCACAAACAATAAAAACAAAAATTAGTGGTCACAATAATATACCAAAATAATAAAATTAATTATATTTGATTTTTTTAAATGGAATCAAGAGGTTTTGTTTTAAAAAAGATACGGTTATATTTCCATCACTTTTTATTTATTTTCTTTAATTCTCAATTGGTTATATATGGAATATCAAATCATATAGTTATTAGTCTTTACCCATTCCATATTAATACTATGATCCATATACTCTGCTCCACAGACTAAGATCCATAAACTTTAATCTATAGAAGATCCTATCCACATACTATGATCTATATACTGTGATCCATAAACTCTGATCCACAGACTATGATCCATATACTCTGATCTATAGAAGGTCCTATTCACATAATATGATGCATAAACTTTGATCTATAGAAGATCCTATCCACAGACTATGATCCGTAGAAGATCCTCTCCACAGACTATGATCCATATACTCTGCTCCACAGACTAAGATCCATAAACTTTGATCTATAGAAGATCCTATCCACATACTATGATCTATATACTGTGATCCATAAACTCTGATCCACAGAAGATCCTATCCACAGACTATGATCCATATACTCTGATCCATATACTCTGATCCATAGACTCTGATACATAGAAGGTCCCATGCACAGACTCTGATCCATATACTCTGACAATAGACTCTGATCCATAGAAGATCATATCCACAAACTATGATCCATATACTTGGTCCACAGACTATGATCCATATACTTTGATACATATACTCTGATCTATGGACTCTGATCCATAGAAGATCCTCTCCACTGACTATGATCCATATACTCTGGTCCACAAATTATGATCCATAAACTCTGATCCGTAGAAGATCCTCTCCACAGACTATGATCCATATACTCTGCTCCACAGACTAAGATCCATAAACTTTGATCTATAGAAGATCCCATCCACATACTATGATCTATATACTGTGATCCATAAACTCTGATCCACAGAAGATCCTATCCACAAACTATGATCCATATACTCTGATCCATAGACTCTGATCCATAGACTCTGATACATAGAAGGTCCCATGCACAGACTCTGATCCATATACTCTGACAATAGACTCTGATCCATAGAAGATCATATCCACAAACTATGATTCATATACTTGGTCCATAAACTATGATCCATATACTTTGATACATATACTCTGATCTATGGACTCTGATCCATAGAAGATCCTCTCCACTGACTATGATCCATATACTCTGGTCCACAAATTATGATCCATAAACTCTGATCTGTAGAAGATCCTCTCCACAGACTATGATCCATATACTCTGCTCCACAGACTAAGATCCATAAACTTTGATCTATAGAAGATCCTATCCACATACTATGATCTATATACTGTGATCCATAAACTCTGATCCACAGAAGATCCTATCCATAGACTATGATCCATATACTCTGATCCATAGACTCTGATCCATAGACTCTGATACATAGAAGGTCCCATGCACAAACTCTTATCCATATACTCTGACAATAGACTCTGATCCATAGAAGATCATATCCACAAACTATGATCCATATACTTGGTCCATAAACTATGATCCATATACTTTGATACATATACTCTGATCTATGGACTCTGATCCATAGAAGATCCTCTCCACTGACTATGATCCATATATTCTGGTCCACAAATTATGATCCATAAACTCTGATCCGTAGAAGATCCTCTCCACAGACTATGATCCATATACTCTGCTCCACAGACTAAGATCCATAAACTTTGATCTATAGAAGATCCTATCCACATACTATGATCTATATACTGTGATCCATAAACTCTGATCCACAGAAGATCCTATCCACAGACTATGATCCATATACTCTGATCCATAGACTCTGATCCATAGACTCTGATACATAGAAGGTCCCATGCACAGACTCTGATCCATATACTCTGACAATAGACTCTGATCCATAGAAGATCATATCCACAAACTATGATCCATATACTTGGTCCACATACTATGATCCATATACTTTGATACATATACTCTGATCTATGGACTCTGATCCATAGAAGATCCTCTCCACTGACTATGATCCATATACTCTGGTCCACAAATTATGATCCATAAACTCTGATCCGTAGAAGATCCTCTCCACAGACTATGATCCATATACTCTGCTCCACAGACTAAGATCCATAAACTTTGATCTATAGAAGATCCTATCCACATACTATGATCTATATACTGTGATCCATAAACTCTGATCCACAGAAGATCCTATCCACAAACTATGATCCATATACTCTGATCCATAGACTCTAATACATAGAAGGTCCCATGCACAAACTCTGATCCATATACTCTGACAATAGACTCTGATCCATAGAAGCTTTCTAAGCATTTTGATTTTCCAAACAAGAGTTAAAAATACTCCATCAAACCTATTAGTACAAAGGTCTAAAACCTCAAATTTATCATAGTTAATAAAAAAATTTCAGGAATTGAACCAAAGATAAAGTTTTTTGACACATTCAACTCAATTAACCATGGAAGGTTACAAATTGTTAGAGACAAATACAAGAGAGATTAAGGTTTTGAATAGTAACAGAAGTTACTATTGAATCAGTACAATACGCACCAGTCCAATTGCATGGAGTTGCATGGAGTTAAATCAGAAGAATTCATGTAACTACCTTGCCCCACCTTATCCAACTCACTAGTTTATTGTATCCTGAACAATTCCAATTCAAAGACACTAAAGAAACTAAGTGAATATAGATTATACAAATTGACATAGTAAAAATAGATTATACAAATTAAAATAGTAAAAATAGATTATACAAATTGAATCAATTATAAGAAACCTAGAAATTAAAAGAAACCAAATCAACAATGCAGTATAAGGGTATCCATTTGGAGCAAAACTTGGATATAGTACAGTTAAGCCAAGAAATTACAATTTCATAAACAATAAAAATGTCCTATGCAAAAACCGCAAAACAAACTAAATAAAATTGAAACAAAATTATAAACTATTCACCAAAAATAAAATTCACTGAGAGAATATATGCTTAGTAATAAACCATATACATATATTAATAACCCTAAGATTACAGTTATGAACTGCAAAAACTAAAAGAAAGCAAAGAAATTACAAAACCCTAAGAAAGAGACTCCACATGCTTAGAATAGAAATTAGATGCAGAAAAAAATGATAACCTAATATGGTTATTAGTTAATTTCGAAAATGAAAAAGACGAAGATGAGAAGGTGAGAAAGAAGGATACTGTCAGAGGAAGGAACACAAACATTCTTTTCTTTGGAATCCCGGCCGTTGATGCTTCGACTTCATCGTCCGCCATTGTTGTGCTGGTTCTGATGCTTTGGTTGCTTCAGCTAGGTTTCCCAATTTCATCCTTTTAGAAAATGAAAGAAAAGATAATGTCTTTTTTTAATTAAAAATAATAATTTAAAATAAATTGAGATTTAGATAAATATGCAATTATAAAATAATATGGGCAAAAATTAAAAACTATAAAATACTAATGACCTGACAAATGATATAAGTAATAACCAATCTATATAAGACATGTCAAGTGGGTAAAGTTACCCAATATTTTAAGTTGGGTAATGAAGTAGGACCCTAATATATTTTGTTTTGTCCTGCTTATATTGGCAGGCAGTGCAGCCTTTGGCGGTCGTTTTATCCTTAACTCAACACAACTGCCTTCCCACGACGGTCGTGTTCAATTCCTCTCTCACACACACAAGCATTTGCTTATAAAATTCTCTCTCACCTTCTAATCCAACCAAATTTCACACTCACACTCATAAAAAAATTCAAACCAAAAATGTCTGTTTTGTCCCCTCCAACACATTCGCCACTTCTTCTAAACACCAAAACCAATCTTTCTTCATCTTCTTCACCTTCTTCTCCTTCTTATCTTCTTCCTCTTCTCACTTTCCCATCCAAACGCTCTTCTTCACTAACCCTCTTCTCTTCTTCAAGTAACTTCACCATTGCTGTTTTTTTTTCTTCACATAATTAAAATTTGAAGGAAAAAAAATCATTGTTTTAATCTGTTTTTGTGTTTTACAATAATGGGAATTTTGTGTTTCTTCTATTGTTTGCAGAATCAGGAGATGGGTTGTCGAGTAAAGATAAAAAAGTCTTACTTGAACAGTATGGTTATGATATCGACGCTGATGACTTATTTTCTCAATCGTCTCGAAAGGTTTTTGTTTTCTTCTATGATTGCAAATTTCTATATAACTTCGTTCAGCTCTGTTTGATTTGCATTTATGCTTAATTTTTTAATTTGAACCATACTTTTAAATTGCGGATGCGGTTGTGGGTGTTGTGATTGCGGACATTGCAGTTGCTGTTGCTGCAATGTGCATTGCGACTGCAACAACGTGAATTTTGATTGAGAAGAGTTTGAAATGCAATGCGCGATGCGACTGTTGCAATGTGAATTTTGATTGAAGAGAGTTTGAAATACACCGTTAAAAACACTTAATGTTAGGATTTTTCAGAAGTAAAGGAGTATTAGGGTTCTAAATTTTGAGTTTTGACAAAATACTTAAGAAACCTGAGCAAAGTTGTCCGACGCAGTTCCTAATGTGGAAGGACGCATAATTTCAAATCATACTGCAATTGCGGTTTGATTCGGTTGAGGAGAATACCGCATAAGCAATATTGCGGCCGCAATTGCAGTTGTGAACTGCAATTTAAAACCATGATTTGAACGACTTTATGTTGTTGAGTTACAATAAGTACTGACTATATTGAAGTTGAGATGAGTTTTTGAAAAAATTGAGATGCAATAGCTAGATTTCATTTGTACAAGACTATGCTATTTTAAAAACTCACAAGTATGGTAAGAATATGCTAATTTTTTCCCTCTTCATAAATGCTTGTGAATACTGTCTCTCAATATTTTATTTTATGAACTTTGCTCTGAATGCAACTGTGTAGTCCAAGAGGAAAAAGGATCAACAAAAGACCAGAGGAGGGAAGCAAGTGCAGGATCCACCTGAGGAACCTAAGTCTCCTCGTACCACACATAAATTGCTTCAGGTAATCTCATTTTTGGGACTTGGAAGTGCTAATTGATGAGGAAAATAAGGATTGTGCGTACGTGCGGGTGTTTATGGTTAGATTGCTGCGAGGTTGCTTAAACTTTGTTATAAAAATGTTGTTAAAAAGTGGTGCATTCCAAGTGAAGCATGCCTTATTCTTTAGAGACCTTCTTTTAATTAACTTTTTAGAAAAGCTAATCGCCTTATTTCGGTCCTTGACTTCCAAATATCCTTTTTAACCAAGTGGTAGGGCTTAGAGGTTAATGAGCGTTAGTTTTGGCACCACTAACAATCTTTATCGAGATCCCGATTTTGACAACCATGTTAGGATGGGCTTTAGTGTTGCCACCACTATTATCCACATGGCTTTTCATGACTATGATTATCTCGCTGCCGACATCTTCCTCAATTGGTTCAATTAATTAGCAAAAGATGGTTACTAAGTTTTCAATCTTACAACAACAGTCGGTGGCTTGGTTTGTGAAAAAGCACACAGTTCGGCTCGAATTGCTCGGAAACGATGAATTGCTAAATTTATGTCTAACATTTATTTCATATGACTACATAGGTTATTGGAGGAACAGCTCGAAGAAAGAAGCTACTCTCACCAAACAGCATGGATGTACGCCCCATGATGGAGGTCGTGAAAAGTGCAGCCTTTGATATATTACAGGTACCAGTCGCAATCGCCAGTGTTATATCTTATATTAGTTTACAGCATAGGCGCTTACCGTATAAAGTTATGTATAAGCTATTTCTATAACAAATAAAATAAAGTCAAATTGTTTCAATATCAAGTTATGAGCTGTTTTCATAAGTATTGTTTTTTTTTCATAATGTAAAGGCGGCTTGTGGCTCTCCTGCATCCTTGAGACCTGGACGCTGGTTAGACTTGTATAGCGGTACCGGTTCTGTTGGAATTGAAGCACTTAGCCGAGGATGTTCTGAGGTATTAATCTTTTCAATAATCAGTTTGCATTCACAATCCCATGGTTATCATTTCTCATATTATCTAAGCTCTCTCCTGAGTTAAACAACGGAATTAATAGATATTAATCAAGCTTAAGGAGATTTGTACAGAGATTTTCAACAATTTGTTTTTAAATATTCCCACTTATAACACATTTGTTTGGTTATGTGATTTTAACAAAAAGCAAATATTTTAGGTACATTTTGTTGAGATGGACCCTTGGGTTGTATCGGATGTTTTACGTCCAAACTTAGAGGTGACCGGATTCGTTGATGGTTCAGTCATTCACACAGTCCGTGTGGAGAAATTCTTCGAACGCGCAGAGCAATTTGTAGGCATGTACATCTTTTTCCTTTTAACTTATGTATATCCGCATTGCTTCTTTAGTCCACAACCCTTAATTCCAGCAAACTCTATTTGAATCCGATTCATGATTTGAATCTCGATTCACGCCTTCGTAACTTTGAATTGCTCACATGCAGGAAATAAGGGTATGTTTGATTACATCAGCGTCACCCCTCCATACGAACAAGTTGACTATGCGGTGCTAATGAGACTGATTTCGGAATCACCCTTTGTTGGAGAAGACACTTTTATTGTATGCAGTATTCTCTTACTTTCTTATTCTTGGTCTAAATAGTCTCATGGTTACTAATTTTACATTGAACTCATGTTTTTATCTAGCTAGTTGAGTATCCTTCAAAAACCGACATGCAGGAGTCTTGCGGAAGTCTTGTTAAGGTAATTCGAGTAATTAACAATACCATGTTCACTTTTTTGCTCGACCACAATTTTTTTGGGAGAACATTCAGTTCATTGAACCGGTGGAACTTCTGGTTTATGGTTCAACTTCTTTAAACCATTCGGACCGGGGCGAAACCACCATTCGCGGTTCAATTGGTTGAACATTCAGTTCGGTTTTTAAAACATTGAAAGTTCTTTTGACCTACTTTTATAGACTTAATATACCTTAGTTTGATGATATTTCTGCGAGTGTGAGATGTGTAAGTGATTGTTTGTAACTGCAGATAACCGATAGGCGGTTCGGCCGAACCCTATTGGTAATTTATGGACCAGCATGGGCTCAAAAGAAAAGGAAATAAAACATTCAGAAAACACAGATGTAGTAAAGGTTGATAAGCTTGATGCGGGAATGTTTAAAACAGTTATGAGGAGTTTATCAGTTACTTGAAAATTAGTTAAGGACTTATAGGGAGTAAGTTACTTAAACTACCTATACATATGTATTGTACATTCAAGTGCATATTCAGATTTGATGCAGTCACAAACAAATACAGTGCCTACAATAATTCTATTGCATCTTTCAGTTGGATCTAGTCCTCTGTGTTGTGGTTGTTGCTCGTGAAAATGGTAGTACCCAGACCCTTTTGGGGAGTTCAAGCCCTTACTTACAGAACTCTGCATTAATGCATTCTTGCAGAGAGTTTTCTGGATGTGTTGTGTAATTGTTGTATTTAAAGAGGATGGTTTTAGATTCGTCAAAATGGGATAGTTCATATAAGTTGGTATATCAAACTCGGTAAAACGGAGAACTTGAGCCTTAAAATTAGAGTTTGAATTTGATTAGGAACTTTGTAACCTGTCCTTAAAGAGTTTGCTACCCATTAGGACTATTCCGTATTGGATTGTGGGTAGCCCATTTGATCTACTTAACTATTTTTTTTATATTATAGGCACAAATATTATCCGAGTCTTTTAAATTATTATTTTTAACAAGTCAGTTATTTATGATTTTTTGTATCTTTATTTAACACTTGTTACAATTCTATATCAATTTTGTTACAAGTAAGGTTGAAATTTGTACAACATAACTAAAATGCACATCATATTTAACAAAATTGATATAGAATTGCAACAAGTGTTACATGAAGTTACTAAAAATCACATCTTACGACACTAACATCAAAATTAACAATGATCACTACTTCCGAACTAAAATGCACATCAACTCTACAAAAATCAAAACTAACATTATGACATAGACTACCATCTTCAACATGTTCTTCATCTTCTTAAATGACACATCAATGTCGTTTGTACCACATAAGCGTTTTTGAAACGGAGTTTGTGAAAAATGTTAACGGTGAATACATTAGTTAACATAAATAACCAAATTGTAGCAACAAAAAAAACATAAAGAACTGACTTGTTATAATAAAATAACTTAAAGGACTCATGTAGTATTTTTGCCTACACTATACTAAAGTTTACAATGTTTCACTTAAAAATTGCACATTGGCTTTTAGATTTTACTAAATTTTATCTCTTATATTATATTAAATCTTCTCATATTAAATATTTTACATTAATATAATCAAAATAATATTTAACTACTTCACATTTCACTTTATGACTTTTTTGCATTTAATTATTTACATTAATATAATCAAAATAATATTTAACTACTTAACATTTCACTTCATAACTTATTTGTATTTGATAATTTATGTTTCGTTGGATAGTTGTGTATTATTTTGAACTTAAAGACCATGTCTTATCGACCCCAAGCTCTCACTCAACTTTGGTTGTTACTTTGATGTAGTAAATTTTTCACAACTTATTTGTATTTGATAATTTATGTTTCGTTGGATAGTTGTGTATTATTTTGAACTTAAAGACTATGTCTTATCGACCCCAAGCTCTCACTCAACTTTGGTTGTTACTTTGATGTAGTAAATTTCCCATGGAGTTTGGCCAATGAGTTGACGAATTCGGCCCTCAAGTCTATGAGTCATGTCATAGCGCATTCTTTCAAGGCGAGGAAAAATATATTGCATTTCTCAAGCCCACTTGCTTTTGGAAAAATTCAATAGGATTTCCGCGAGTTCCACGTGTTTGTCTGAGTTCGTCGTCTTGTCCTATGTGAAATTTTTGTACAATTTTCTTTGGGTGGAAGCACTCTAGATGGTAAAGAAGTCGTCGACGATGGATGCCCTCAATCTACATGTTATGAATGGTACCACAGTAACCAACTCTTTTGATGATGCAGGACACTTGGCAAAGGATCTTGACATTCAGGGGCCTAGACATGGAAAAAGAGTAAGAATTCATAATAGAAAATATACTGATGGATTTGTTTTAGTAAGAGAATGAGTGGAAATGATTGGTGTGGAATTTAGTGGATGAAAATCCTGAGTCTCTTCCCCCTCTAGAAGCTTTTGAGCTTTTCTAGTACTACTTAGGTTCTATGTAACCATTTGTCTAATTGGTTGTAACCATCCCCATCAATAAATTCCCTTATTCCATATTGTATTGTTGCCTTGTGTGTACTTCTGTGCTTGCTTTTTTTTATATCATTGTTTCATCGATACATAACATTGGTGCTTTCATTGACCTCCCCAATGACTGAGAATACACACACGAAGAGTGTGGAAAGCTCTATAGCTTAAATGAACAAAACGCTTCAGAAATTTTTGGAAGAAGCTAATTGTTGTCACACCGAGTACGCTCAACACTGTCAAATGGATCAGGCTCGCTTTGATCGTGTTGAGAATCAACTTAGCACTCTTCAAGTTTCACAGATCTCCGGTAGCAAGAACTCCACCTTTTCATTGACGACGACACATCCACCATTTCAGGTGCATAACATTAAGCTCAATTTCCCTTGTTTTGATGGATTTGGGGTGATGAACTAGATTTTTAAAGCCAAACAATACTTTGATTATTACAACACGCTGGATAACCAGTGTCTCACCATTGTCGTCGTGCATATGGAAAAAGACGTCGTTCCTTGGTTTTAAATGATATCACGTTACCACCTATTTCAATCTCAGGCCATGTTTGCTCGGGCCTTATAAATGGAGTTTGGCCCATCACCTTTTGAGTCGCCCCGACCCAGTTTATTCAAACTCACCAAACTAACACCGTCACTGAATTCTACTATGCATTCACCATTCTTGTAAACCGATCCTAATGTCTGATCCCTGAAGCCACTCTTGATTACTTCATTAATGGTCTGAAATTTAAAATCAAACGTGATTGCACGAATGCCTTCCTCTCTGTCACGAGCTTACGCTTTGGTTCAGTTGTTTTAAGACAAGTATTCACCCCTGCCACCGACCAAACCTCCAAACTCCACCACCAAACCTTATCACTTTCCCGTTCCCAACACACCACCCAGAAATAACCCTCAACCTCCATTGTTACCAATTCCAAAACCAAACTAACCACCTTGTAAAAGCCACCCATTAAAAAACATTACCAGAGCTGAAATGCAATTACACCATGAAAAGGGCTTTGCTACCACTGTGAGGAAAAAATCTCTATTAACCATAAATGTCTGAACCACCACTTTTTTATATTTCAAAAGGAAGAAGATGATCATGACCCAACCTTTGAACCAATTCAACACACCTTAACCGATACACATCCCTTGGGCGAGGCACAACACCACCTATCCTTAAATGCTTTGAATGGGTCACATGTGAAATTCTGGTATGCAGGTCTCAGATGTTGTAGATGTTCTTGATTGGCTGCATTTTATGGTAAAATATTACTGTGTATAAATGTCTTAACTGATGTCATGACATTCGTGTGTAGTATACTGCAGGGTAAGTTTGGTTAGCTAGAACAGAGTGTATTGGATGTCATGCTGGATGTTATGACATCAGGTAGCGACCAACAAGGGCGCGTGTTTGTTTTTCTGGTATAATGCATGAGTTAGCTCAGGCTAGATTTCAGGAAACACTGTAGGGTTTTCTTGTTTTCTCAGGCAAAATGCTAGGCAGTGCTGAGCATAACATGAAATGCCTATAACCTAATTGAAAGAACCCTGAATTATGGAAAAGGGTTTAACTTGGTTAAACCTAATTTCTGCCACTTAGGCCCAAGGTCCATGCGCTGCATATAAATAAAGAAGAGGCAATCTTGATGGACGGACTTAGAGATTGTGAATGAAGAATTCTATTTGTGTAACTTGTTCTTCACGTGGGTTTTTGTGTCTTAGGATTTCTTGTAAGCCAAGCAATTATCACCTAGATGATTGCATTGGACTAGTGTGTTTTGAGTTGTACTTTGATTGTGTCACTCTAAGCTTTTAAGCACGAGTGTTGTGTCTTGATTGAAATTGTGAAGCAAGATCAAGATTTGTTTGAAGTGTGTCTTCTTTTTAATCTGTAACTTAATTGGTTGATATCACTGCTGTGATTGAGGGGGAGTGAGTAGGAACTCAGGTCTAGTGTTAGGCTGAAGTTGCATTGGGTAGGTCTTAAGTGAAAAGTGCAACTGGTGGTTTGGCTCTGAATTAACACTGCTTATAGTGGATTTCCTCCCTGGCTTGGTAGCCCCCAGAGTAGGTGTGATTTGCACCAAACTGGGTCAACAATTCCCTGTGTTATTTACTGCTTTCATTTTCTGTTTATTGTTAAGTTATATAGTCCGTTCAGTAGTGGATGTCATAACATTCGTTATAACATCGACTGGCTGTTACTAGAATTTCAATTGGCATCAGAGCAGGCACCCTGCCTATTACTTTCTGGGTGAGATCTAGGGAAGATAAACTCTGGTACTATGGACAAGGATATAGGATTCACAAATAGACCACCAATTCTGGATGGTTCTAACTATGACTACTAGAAACCTCGTATGATAGCTTTCTTGAAGTCTCTGGGTAGCAAGGCCTGGAGAGCAGCTAACTCAGGATGGGAACATCCAGTGAAGACAGAGAAAGATGGATCAACTATGCTAATACCTGAAGAAGACTGGAGCAAAGAGAAAAAAGCTTTGGCTCTTGAGAATTCTAAGGCCATGAATGCTCTATTTAATGGGATAGATAAGAATATATTCAGACTTGTGCATCACTGTGAACTGGCCAAAGAGGTTTGGGATACTCTCAGAACAACTCATGAAGGTACCTCTAAGGTCAAGATGTTTAGACTACAGATGCTGACTACTAAGTTTGAGAATCTGAGGATGAAAGAGGATGAGACTATCCATGAATTCTACATGAATTTTTGGAGATTTCCAATACCTCAGGAGCTTTGGGAGAAAAATGTCTGAAGAAAATCTTGTAAGGAAGATTCTCAGATCATTGCCCAAGAGATTTGCCATGAAGGTTACTGCTATAGAAGAGGCTCAAGACATT